ATATTTTTTTTTTTTTTACAACAGTGTTGGTTTGCAGCAAAATTGAGCAGAAAGTAAAATTCCCATATACTTTCTGCCTCCACATAAGCACAATTTTCCCCACTATCAACATTCTGGAGTAGAGTGGTACATTTGTTATAGAACTGATGAATCTCCATTGATACATCATAATCAACTAAAGTTCATAGTTTACTTGAGGGTTCATTCTTGTATGTACTGTAGGTTTTGACAAGTGTATAATGACATTTATCAGCCATTTTAGTGTCATATAGAGTAGTTCATTGCCATAAATAATGAAGAATAATGAAGGTAAAGCACTAATGTTTTATGTTTAGTCCATACCAACCTATCCACTTCATCTCTCCTTTCCTCTGATGCCTTATTGTGGTTGATCTATAGTTTTGCCTTCCTCCAGAGTGTTCTATAGTTGAAATCTATAGTGATTGGCTTTTCAGATTGGCTTCTTTCACTTACTAATATGTCTTTAGGATTCCCCATATCTTGTCATAGCTTGATTGCTCACTTACTTTTAGTGCTGAGTAGCATTCAGTTTTCTGGCTATACCTCAAGTTGTTTATTCATTTACTTACTGATGGACATGTTTTGACAATTATGAATAAAGCTGCTATAAACATTCATGTACAAGTTTTTATGGTAATGTAAGTTTTCAGTTCATTTGTGTAAATACCAAAGGGCACAATTATTCAGTTCATTTGTGTAATACCAAAGGGCACAAATTTATGGATTGTATGGTAAGAGTGCATTTAGCTTTGTAAGAAATTGCAAAATTGTCTTCCAAAGTAGCTGTACTATTTTGCATTCACACCAGTAATGAATGACAATTCCTATTGCTCTACATCTTCACCAGCATTGGGTGTGGTCAGTGTTTCAGCTTTATTTATTTATTTATTTATTTGTTTTTGAGAGGTTTTTGCTATAGGGCACATGCACTCACCAGACAGACAGAGACAGAGAGAGATAGAAAGCGAGAAATCACTCCCCAGAAGGGGTGGCCGTGCTGCAATTCCTTCTCCTCCATTCTCCTCTTGGGATCTTGGGCACGCACGCACACATGCCCGGCGTGAGTTTTAAGCCACCGGGTCCGGGACTCCAACTGCGGTCAACTATGTGGGAGTCCAGCAACATAGCCATTACTTACGCTAACTTCTGGTCCCAGTGTTTCAGCTTTTATAATTCTAACTAGCTTAGTGTTACCTCATTGTTTTAGAGTGTAACTTCCTAATGGTGTATGACATTGATCATCTTTTCATGTTTATTTGCTTCTGTTTATCTTCTCTGGTGAGGTGTCTCTTCAGATCTTTTGCCCTTTTATTTTTCTTTTTAGGTTTTTGCCATAGGGCACATATGCTTGCCAATGAGAGACAGAGAGAGACAGAGAGAGGGAAAGTGAGGAGTCATCCCCAAAGGGGATAAGGTCTCGCCACAGTCCTTATTCTTCCAATTTCCTCTCAGGATTTTGGCCATTCACACACACCTACCTAGTGTGATTTTCTTTTTTTGTTTCTTTTTTTTCTTTTTTATTTCTTGCTCTTTTATACATTCAATCACTTTATTTAGCTTACAAAGTGAATATTCCAACATGTTTACATTTCTCCCTAGTCCAGATGATAAAATGATAAAATTATCTCGAACAGATAATACCACATTTCTTTGTCCCATTAATGCTTTGCCTCTCTATTTTTCTTCTAAATGTCCTTCCTTAGACTCTACTCTTTCACAAACACTGTATCTTATATTCACAACCTGGTGTGATTTTTCAACCCATCGGGTCCGGGACTCAGACCACATTTGGCCTTGTAAATTTTGTGCCATAACCACCACATCAACTGCTGTCCTCTTTTTCACCAGTTTTTTAATTGGGTGGTTTATTTTTTTAATTTTTGAGTTTAAAAGTTATTCACATATTTTGGATAAAAACTCTTTGTCAAATATGTCTTTTGTAAATATTTTCTCACATTCTATGGTTTGTATTTATTTTCTTAGTGTCTCCCACAGAGAAGTTTATAATTTTAACAAAGTCGAGATTATTGATTATTTATTTCTTATATGGTGCTTTTGATGTTGTATCTATAAAAGCCATCACCAAATTCAAGGTTATCTAGATTTTCCTTGATTGTTATCTTCTAGGTGTTTGATAGGTTTGTATTTTTTTTGTATTTTGTATTATTGGGAATGACATATAATGACACTTGATTTGTGTAATATATTTTGAATTAATTTTAGTAAAGGTGCTGGGTGTAGAATCATTGGGTTTTTTTTTACAGAGATATTTGCTATAGAGCATGTGCACTCACGGAGAGACAGAAAATGAGAAATCACCCCTCAGGGGGATGATCAGGTCACAGTCCCTTCTCTATTCTCCTTTTGGAACTCTAGGCATGCACACACACACACACACACACACACACACACACACACCTGGTTTAAATTTCAAGCCATCACGTCTGGGATTGGAACTACAATTGGCCATGTGGAAGTCCTGTGCCTTAACCACTATACCACCTGCTGGCCCCTAGAATCTTTTTTTCTTTTTTGAATGTTCCTATTCAACTGGCAATCATTCGTTTCAAAGACTATCTTTTTTCCATTGTATTGTCTTGTTCTTTTATATATCATGTGGTCTATTTCTGGGCACACTGCTTTGTTCCATTTGATCTATTTCATATTCTTGGCCAGTACTACCCTGTCTTAATAACTTTGTAGTAATTACTGAGGTCATCTTCAGTATTTTGTTCAATATTGTGTGCTCTTTGGCCTGTTTATAGACAAATTAGATTTAGTTTGTTGATATTCACAAAATAACTTGCTGGGGTTTTGATTGGAATTCTATTGAATGCGTAGATCAATTTAGAAAGAACTATTATATTATTTTTTTAAAAAAAGAGATTTTTGCTATAGAGTACATGCACTCACCAGAGAGAGACAGAGATAAAGCAAGAAATCACCCCCCGGAGGGATGACAACTCCACAATCCCTTCTCCTTCAGTTTCCTCTCAGGATTATTGGCCTGCATACACATGTGCCCAGCATGAGTTTGAAGCCTCTAGGTCCAGGACTCAAACTACAATTGACCATGTGGGAGTCCAGCAACATAACCATTAAGCCATCTGCCGGTCCCTAATATCTTAACATTATGGAGTTTTCCTATTCCATGAACATGGAATATCTGAGTTTGATTTCATTCATTGGGGTTCTGTTTAAATGTCTTTTTTAACTTAATTATTATAAATATGTTAAATGTTACCTCAGTTAGTACTGTTTATTTCTTTGGAGTCTCACTGTTTTTTGTTTTTGCAATTAACAGGCTTAGAAGTGGCATTCTTTATTTGAGTCCAGAAAGAAATGATGAGAACAGTTTTTTCCAGAAATTCCATTGCATCTAAATGGTTTGAATTAGCTGATATGCCCATGCCTGAATCAGTCACAGGGTACAGGATATTGCTTTGACCAGGTTACCAGCTTTACTCCTAAGGTGACTCAAATAATAGAAAAGGGAATCTTTACTGGGGAAAATAAAATGTTTACCAAAAGAAAGATGACTAATTTCTGGAAATCAGAAGTGACATATACTCATCTACATGTTTTATTAAAACCATATTGTTATTTCAAACTCATATTTATAAACTAACATTCAAATAATAGTGGGACATAGACTGCAGCCTTGAATTCTGTCTTGAATACCACTTTGAGTACCTTGAATATCACCCTGAAAATCTGAATCCGTTCTCTAAATGTCCTCTATTTCTGGGGCTGACAGATGGCATTATGGTTAAGGTGCCAGTCTTCCACATGGCCGACCCTGGTGTGCATCCTGGACCTGGAGGCTTGCCTTGCTACTTTCTCTCTCCCTCTCTTGCTCTCTCTCTTTCTCTGATCAAACTAAAAAAGTGATAAATAAAATTGAATAAATAATTCTTTTTTAAAAATCCTTCTGTTTCCATTCATCCTGCAACACATTGACAATCTAGTTTGGCTTTAATTACTCTGATGCACTGCTATTGATCTTCTCTCAGTCTTCATAACTTTTCATCTTTTCTGAAAAAATATATTGGAGACTTGTCTTTGAAAATTTCCCCTGTGATGGTTTTATGTTGCCATACTATTCTAACTTTTCTTCTACCTCTCTAGAGTTCTTTTATTTTTCATCACTTCTCTTCTTATTACCTTGAATATGTATATATGTCTCAAGGTCTTATGGGCCTGTTCTTTTTTCGTTATTGTTTTTTCAACTTTTTCTGGAGTTTTTGTCTTTTCCTACTATTTTAATTTTTTTTATCTCTTTATTCAGGAAACTTTCAGGTCACTCTTTCTGGTCTTTCTACCAGTGTATATGCTTTGTTCTTAATTCTAAATTCTCATTTTCAGACTGGCTGGTGGGGGTGGCTGCCAATATGTTCGCAATCCTATTATGAACAAAATGTAAGCTCATTTTCTTTCCAAGTGTTCTTTTC